AGTTGATTTTCCTTAGTTTTAGAGTGGTCTCCTTCTGCATCCTGTTTTCAGAGCATGTCTTCCAGATGGTGAAAAGTGATGAGCAGCTGGAGGCAACAAGCTAGATCAAAAGTCTCTTTTTGTCTATGGACAGACTTGGTTATCCAAAACAAAATAAGAGGTATCACTATCTGTAGTCCCATCTGTAAACGCTTCATCATGGTAATAATTTGTTGTGCATGATAAAATCACCTCCCTGCATAAATGATCGCAGAAAAACAGATCCCACCTGAAAGAAAGCAAAAGTGTATAGTAGAAGGCAGACTGGAACTGTGAAAATGACAGCTACTGGGCAACTAAATACAGGATTTTTGCATACCCTGCACCTGAGCTTTAGGACTCATCTGTAGTTTGTAATTTTTGTTATATCAGGGCATGCCGAGGCACTGCTTCAGTGGGAATTTCTGTGGAGAATGGCTTGAATCATCAATGTCATTTTTTGCAGGACTTGGCCTTCTCTTAGGGGTTTCCTTTAAGTTTATCCTTTTTGGCTTGTTACAGCTGAAGAAATCCTACCCCCAGGACTTAAGCATTAGAGGAATCCAAGCTCTGAATCTGAGGCCAGTTCAGATATGCCAGGCTATTTTTGATGAGTACCTAACACTTCCCCAGAAGAAAGGCATTCTCAGTACAATGTCTTTATGTGACTGCATTTACCTGCATTTATGTCCCTGGCATTTACCCAAGATAAAATCTTATAGTTCAAAGAATTTTTACCACAGAGATGGAAATAAGAATCCCTTAATTACATTTAACTAAAAGGTCTCTTGTTCCCTGTTGTCATGTGATTTGTGCCAAAATAACATAATAATCTTGCCCTGATAGAGCAACTAACCCATACAAAATTGTCATGTATTTTCACTTCAGTAGCTTTGTGAAGTCTAAAGGACTTCAGTGCTTTTTTTAACCAAGTGTTGGATGGTCAAATTACAAAACAAAAAACATGTGAATTTTCCTAACAAAACATTGTAGATATTTTTTTTTAAACTGATTAGCCATTTTTGCAATTCTTTGTAGAACCATCGGATACAAAAAGAAGTATGTGAAAGTTCCACATGGGCATATTTGGGTGGAAGGTGACCACCATGGACACAGCTTTGACAGCAATGCTTTTGGTCCGGTAAGTCAGTTCACTGTGTATGATTTACACTTTGCAGCTAAAAAGCAGCACTTGTATCCTGGGTCATTTGTGCAACACAGCAAGTGTGAATTGATTGTGATTGTATTTTTATTATTTTTATGAGAATAATTAGATTTTATAAAATATCTTGGTCAGCAGAGATTAAGTTTGCTCTTAGCTATTCTAAAAAGAATAAAGACTCCTTTTAATTCCCCCACATGGAAGGAGAAGTGGTGGAGATTTTAAATTTGGAGGGATGTACTGGAGGAGTAGCCAGAGGGCGAGCCAGCTCCCTGTAGCTGACAGATGCTCCCTGAGGACACGTTGCCAGCTGATGTAATTTGGAATGGTTCCCTCCGAGGAGCTCGGTCTTGCTTTAGAGCCAGTTCTGGGATAAAGAATTAGGAAGCCATAACTGTGTTAACTGTTAAATTGGTCTGTGGACGGCAGTAGGGATATTTCAAAACTTTCCCAAGAATAAATATTTACACTTTCTTTATATAGGGCCATTTTCACATTGAATAATGAGAAAATATAACCTGAAACATCTGTTTCTTGACGGGTAAAAGTGTGCATCTGTTCATCAGGAAGACAGTAAACACTATCTCTGCACTCCAGTTTTGGTTCTGTTTTAGTTTTGCTACACTTTGTGTGGACTCCTGTTCTTGTTTTAACTTAATCTAGCATGCAGCAAATAATTGTATAAGCTGTGCATCCTGCTGTGCAAATACAAATCCTTTTTGCCCTATTCCATATGCAATTTTTTGACATGTGTCTTTAAGAAAGAATGCTCGTCTAATATTATCAAAAACCCACTGGTTGTTACAAGGAAGTTGTCAAGGATAGACTTTTCCACCCATATGGATTTCATACCTGTTTCGTATAGAAGTTGCCCCACTGACTCATTGAATCAATGACAGCAAGGACCTTGTGAGTTTGCCTGCCTTCTGGAAGTTTAGCCCAGTTATTAACTTGAAATAATTTGTTCTTAGTAAAAAAGGCAAAAAAAGGCCTACTGTCTGGTTTGGAGTATGTGATGCCATTGCCTCTCTTTTGCTTTGTCTCACTTTTTTTGTGCTCGTATTTCTTGCAGTTTTTCATTATTATTTTCCTGCTACTATCTTCTAAAGGTT